CCTTGTCTGTCCTAAGATAGGTACGCCAAAGATGAGTGGGATGGATTACTCCTCCTCTCCATCACCTGAAAGGCGTCAGACAGCGGATGCAAGTTGGACACCCAAATGATGAAATGGGGTGAGATGAGTTCCACCTGGGATGACCATGACTGTGGCCTGTGGTGTGCCCGGAGCTCACAGCTGGAGCTCACAGCTAGAGCTCATGGGTATAAGACAACCTGCTGTGTGATATGAAGTCTGAAGGGATGGGAAGGTCACTTTTTTTAATACTAACCATTCCTGGTGGCAAGAAAAAACCCCAGCAAATCAAAAAAAAATGCCCAGCCAACCACCAGACAAGCCTTTAAGCATGCAAGCCTTGTTTTCAGTACGTTGCCTTGCTTAAGTCTTTGTATTATCACAGCCAGGACAGTACTACCACCAGAGTATTTGTATGAGCTAAGAATAGCAGATTTCCTTGAGAAATGTTTTTGTTTATTTTGGTTTTGTATTTTTAAATTGTCGGAGCCTTTGGTGACCTTTCTCTTAAGGGTCCTAGAAGAATAGCCTGATCAGAGACTATTGTAATTAGGAGGGCAGTTGTGAACTGCCTTAATTCTCTGGGTTCTTCCTTGTGACCTGCAAGGTTTTACTGGCAAAATGAGGAAAAAAAAAAATCATGAAGTGGATGTACCAGTGAACTTTATTGCAGCAGAGAAGGCTGGCGTGACATGTGCATTCATGCTATTTCTAGGTTGCCATAGTCTGTGGGGCCATTGTAACTTAAATATGTGTTAAAGGGAATATATCCAGAATATATCTTTATTAAAAGGATGAAACACAAGAATCTGTTCAGAATTATTTCTGAGTTATTGCTAGAATAGCTCTGGTGCGAGGGCCTGCTGAAAGCTAACATGGCTCCTCCGTGCAGATGGAAAGAGTCATTTCCCTGGGAGCAGGCAGTGAGCTGGGTGCAGAACTAAGATCAGCAGAGATGAAGGGATGGGGAGTTCATAGGATTGAAGGGTACAAATGCCAGGAATGGAAACCCATGATTCTGGGTTGGTAGAATGATGCCCATCTTAGAAAATATATTTTGGCAAAGATTTGCCTGCTGGGAAACAGCAGTTGAGCTCGGGGGTTTTTTGGGGGGTGTTTTTAGGGATTTTTTTTTTTTTAAGGTATTTTTTTGAATGAAGAAAATGGATAGTAGTGAGCAGGGATGAATGAAACGTAGTGGCACCTAGGGAGGCAAGGGCAGAATGGCGATAGAGGCTGAGAAGAGGGGGCAGGTCTGGAAGGAGGAGTGATTAAATATCACGAGTGAGAGAGATGCACAACAGAGGATCAAAGCTTTATTCTTAAGACAGAAGGAAGATGTGTATTTGAATTTTTTTAAAGTTTTATTTTGTTGTGGTGCCTGTTGGCTATCTCACAGGAGAGCTGTAAGCAAGACAAAGCAGGGGGAATTTTACTGTTAGTCAAGCTATGATTTACTACTACCTGTGCTCTTAGGTGGACACAAAGTAAAATTGCAGCCTCTGAGAGATTCACAGTGGGGCAGCTAACACACTTCTTACCCTGTGATTTAAAAAAAAAAAAAAAAAAAAAAAGGAAAAAAGAAACAATCCTTTTTGGCAATCAAGAAAAAGTAAAAAGCCAAACTATCTTTGTGTCAGGGGACTGAGTAATATTCACTGGCTCAAGCCCTGCCTGGTGGCTTGGCAAATACTGAAGGTAGAGCATTGCACAGAATAGACTGTGGTTTACGTGCTTGTCTTTCTTATGAGCCTAACAGAGTGTATAACTGATCCTGAAATATAGTGTAGTGGGGATTCATATGTTTATATCGTCTTCATTGCATAGTGGAGCATGTATCCTGGTTGGAAAGCCCAAGGTCTTGCTAAATTTTAATTGCCTTCCCCTGCCAATCATACGGTAAAGGCTGTAGGCTAATTAAGGGTGGTTTCTAAATCAGGATTCTGTACACACAAAATACCCTGTTATTTTCTCATCTGTCTAGACAGGTCACCTAATCCAGTATTAAAATGGTGAAACAGGAGGGGAAAACATTTTCTTGAAGCTCTCATGTGAAGAATTCACATGAGTTCACTGAGGCCAGGATTAGGAAAGTTGTACTTAACTGAGCTAAACCACTTCAATTTTTATAGGATGTAGATGGCAGAAAAGATGTCTCATTACTGTGGCAATCTCAGGAGAAGATGGCAGAGAAAACATTTCTTGGTAGGAAGCCCAGCTCATTCCCATTGTCCTGCTGGTAAATAGAGAAAAGTGATGCTTCCTTTTTTTGGTTGGATTTTTAAATAGAATGTTGTCCCTCGTCTCTGTTTATGGTGTGTATTTGTGTGAGTCTGAGGAGTGGTCTTGTCTTTCATATCAGCCTCTGACCAGTGAGGTTTAAACCTACACATCATGGAGTGTTTCCCAGCTAACTCCCAAGAGAGGCCCTCCATACCTGGAGTGCCATGTTCTTGTTTATCTTAACCCATTCTGAAAATCCACTTTCAGAGTGGATTAAGATAAAAAAGAACAATACATTACTGTCCCAGATGAGGAAAGTCCACAAGAGGAATGAATCAGGACTGAAGCCAAGTAGAGACAAGTCCTAAGGTGTCTGCAACTGGAAACTTGACCCATCTCACCAGCTGTGGTAGGGAAGGAGCTTTGCATCCTCCTCCCTGCTGCCTGCTCCAGATCTTTACTGTTTCTCATGGAACAGGGAAGAATGAAAGGAGGTTGTAGCCAGGTGGGTGTTGGTCTCTCCTCCCTGGTAACGGGTGATAGAACAAGAGGAAACAACCTCAAGTGGCACCAGGGGAGGTTTAGGTTGGGTACTATGAAAAATTTCTTCCCTGAAAGGGCTGTCAGGCACTGGAGGGGGCTGCCTGGGGAAGGGGTCGAGTCCCCATCCCTGGGGGTATTTAAAAGCTGGGCAGACGAGGTGCTTAGGGACAGGGTTTAGTGGTGGGATGGCAGGGTTAGGATAACAGTTGGACTTGGTCATCTTAAAGGTTTCTTCCAACCTAAATGATTCTGTGATTCTATGAAATCGTTCACTGCTACGTCTTCAAACTGTTGTACTGCTTTTGAATCCAGCTTGCTCAGAAGTAAGTCCAGTGCCTGATTTTGGCTGCTTGCAGCTTTTCCACTTGTCAAATCACCACGATTCGTGACTCTTTCACCATGGACTAGAAAGCATCGGACACTTGACATGTTTGATTTCAGCTTGGAAATAACTCTTCCAACACCAATGCCTGGCTGCCTCTGAGAAATATCTGCTAGCTGAGATCTGTTGGTCAGGAGATGAAAGCGGTGAGATGATTGATGTAATCGCAGGTAGAAGTTTTTAGCGTGGCTGCAGCCAGAGCTGGCTCAATGTCACCTGTTCCGTTGCTCGGTGGCAGTTGGAACAAGCTGTACTGGCACAAGCAGGGTTTGTTACAGGCTGATCTCTCTTGCAGGTGAGCCCAATGATTGAGCTGAAGTTGTTCCAGTTGAAACGAAACATTTTCAAAATAGTTGTCAAGAGATCCAGTCGGAGCTTGGACCACTTTCCAGTTTATACCACTGCTTAAATCACTGCTGACTGCAGCCTGGTGTCAGCTCTGTTACAGGGAGCAGGAGATGCTTGGTCAACATGTGGGTTCTCCAAATGAAGCCGCTATCACTTTGTACTTCATTAGTACTCATGATCATATATACTGCAATAGCACAGTGGTATTTTAAGCACAAAGGTTTGAGTCTTCTGGTGATGCAAGAGAGAAACAGGAGTCTTTGGCACGGGCCAAGTGTTGGGTGCATTGGGGAAGAGCTCAGGAGGTGCAAGCAGCAGCTTGGCAACGGGTAGCGGCAGCATACCAGCTCCTTGGATTTCTCTGCACTCAGTAAGCATTGGGTAGGGAAGGCAGTAAGGCTAGGAATCATGTGTTTTATCCAAATCATTGGGCACCAGCTGATTCATGGGCCGATGAACCCTGGGCTGTGTGTCTTCTTGGGCCTGGTGGAGTATGGGTCTCTGTAGCCTGTTCCTTCGTGCTCTTAAGGGCAGGTATGAACCTACCCAGAACCAGATGACTAGACATTGGCATTTGTGTATAAAGACATCCTACATTGGTGATACCTGATCAAGGTTTAACCTTAACCATGGACTCGGGCCGTATACTAAAATAAAGTGATGGGACCCAAGAACTAAGGATATCCACAGTTAAAAAGATGGCTGCTAGGAGTCTGCAAATTAAAATAGGGTACTGCTTGGAGGAGCAGTTGGATACCTTGGATAGGTGGAGGTAGAATTGGACTAGTCAGGACTGGCGTGGGTTTGAACCTCTCTTCATCAAAGACTGCTCCTGATCCTGATGTGGCAGGACAGCGTTGGCTCCGAGGGCTGCATCGTGTGGCTGTGAATTTTTGAACGGGCCCTTGTTGGCTTTCATCAGTTGAAACATTTTTCCGTCTGTACCAGTTCTGTAATGATTGGTTTGATATCTGATCTCCGTCCTTTGAGCCAAATCCTCTTTACCTACTCCTGTAGTTACATGATCTGAAGGTTATGCTTTGCGGTTGCCACAGAGGCAAAGTGAAGCTTCATCGCCGTGTTGTGGACCTTGTCGGCACTGGGCATGTGGTTTTCTTTTTCTTTTTTTTTTAGAGTCTTTACCACAAAATTGCCACTTTGGGAGGTTATATAAAGAGATGGGAGTTTGAAAATCCTTTGACATCTCCAGAAATAGTCCGCATGGTACAAGAGGGTGGAGATTTCGGGAGTTTCCAGTACTGGTGCTCCAGGCCAAAAAGTTGTTGCATCCCAATTTGACCTCAGTTATCCTTACTATGCATCCCATTTTGAAGGCTGGGCGTAGTTTACAGTTTTCTTTCTTTCTTTCCTGCTGGTCTTTTTTTTTTTTTTTTTTTCTTTTTTTATAGACTTCCTTAGGATTTTTAACTGCAGAAGATAAGTTTGAGCCGAGTTCCCTGAACACGCTTGTTTGCTTTTTCCACAGGTTCCTTAGAAAGAGAGCTTGGACGGCATGCAAAGTTGTGAAATATCTGCAGACAGCACGGATGATCCTCTTAGTAGTGGCCTACGGAGAAAACGACAGCCTCGAATAGTAGTTATCGGTGCTGGGCTTGCAGGGCTGTCAGCAGCGAAAGCGCTCTTGGAAAGCGGTTTCACGGATGTAACTATCCTTGAGGCGACTGACCGAATTGGAGGCCGCGTGCAAAGTGTGAAACTTGGTAAGAGCAGCATTTGGGGAGGAATGTGTTGGGCTTGCTTTATTCTGCTAGCAAGGCTTTGTGTTGGCGTTCGGTTAATTTGACCTTGGAAACGTGCTTTTTCAGTCAACGTGCACCTGCAAAAGGTTGTTTGAGGTGTGATGTTGTCAGGAACATAAATCCTTGGGCTCCTTTCAGGTTGGGTGGGTGAAGCTGAGCTATCTTGGGCATCTTTTCCGAGGGAGGGCTGCTCCAAACCCATGTTTCTGTAAAGTAAAGACCTCGGTGATCGCTTTCATTTGTAACAAGTCTGTGAGAAGCATCCTGTGATTAAGTAACTGGATTGAGACAGTTTCCACCGACGTTTTCGAGCTTGACTCTTGACTAGGAGCAGTCAGTAAATCTCCTGGCTTGTGAACGGCCATTTCTCAGTGACTTACATCACTTGCAGAGGGGCAGGCTCCAAGCTATTCTGTTTCACAAATAACCCCATTCATTTCCCTCGAACTAATTTACTGTGTAGGGCACTACCCACTGTGAATCAGGCTGCTGGAAAAACCTCTTCAATGTATCCTTTCATCCTGCTTTGCAGCTTTCCTACCTCTGCGGCTTCCTTTCCCAGTGTGTAATAAAGGTGCAGACACCGGATATTTGAATCCCGTGTCAATTGGAAGGACCTGTAAAATCTCTTAAGTTCAAAACTACTGGGACAAGCATTGCCCTCTGCAGCGCAGTCGTCAACGCAACTTTCCCTGGTATCTAGAAGGGCACTGCCTGTCTCTTCTCCACAGGAGGCAAAAAGCTCTTCCCTCTTACTGAATGGCCTTCCTGATTTCAAACTAGTTCTGTTTCTGATCCCACTCTCTGTATCTATTAACTCTGGCCTCTTGCTGCCCTCCTTTCTTTTTATTTGCCAGGTGCTTACATCACTTACTATGTTTTACTCGATAAACTCACCACAGTAAATAAACAGCAGTGTCCTATGAACTTTCAGGGGGGAAATGAATGAAAAGGCAGTCGGAAAAATCAAATCTCCAGGGTTTGAATAGGGCACTTTGCATTCTGCTGAGACTTGGCATAGAGGTTAGAATGGGAAGTGTGTCCTTTACTCACAATGCCCTGTATTAAAAATATCCTGGATCGTGTCTGTGAGAGGAGGGAAGCGGTAAAGACCTGAAATCTTCAGGGAGGAATATATCATTTTGTCAGTGCACCTGCGAAATAGCTTTGTTGTACTAGCATTGAGACCAGTTCTCTCACCTTTAGACACCTTCACCGGTTACTCCTATCGTTGCCTTTGCTGGGACTCTACCTCCTGTTCATTAACACTTCTTAACTAGCATGAGAGGAAAGCAGGCTTTTCAGTTTGGTGGAGATCTTGCAGTTTGTAGGTGCAACTGTTATTTGCAGAGCAGAGGACTGGAATCCAAAGCCTTGATCTTTTAATACCTTTCTTAAAACTACAAACTATCTGGCTTTTCTTATCTTCTGCAAGCTGTCCAAGTTACACTGTGGGGGCACGGACTGCAGTTCTTTCCCAGGTGGGTCCGTGTTCTGGCCCTGTGTGCGCTTTGCAGATTCACATGCCCACTAGCCAAATAATTTTGGAGCTCTGTTGGGTGGTGATATCTTCAGAAGCAGCACGTACTCAGAACCTCCTTATTCCCTGATACGAGGGCAAAAGGGGCAGCATGGTCCTGGGCTGTGTTTTCTTCTTACGTACTGCCTGGAGCAGCAAGATTGCGCCTGGGGCGTGCAAGACCTGTTCATTTCCCAGAACTTGGCTGAAGCTTACAAAAAACCTGTTACAGAAGTGGTTCTTCTGGGTCTTCAACATACAACTGTTTTGATCTGCTTGTCTAAGTGGCATTTAAATGTTAAACTTCTCTGGCCACTCCCCTGTCTGCACACTTGACTAAAGATCCTTTTTAAATCTTCAGCAGAGCTGCGGTGGCACCTTCTCGGGGTTATATCCCGATACTTCCACTCTTCACTGAGCCGTGCTGTGTCTTGCAGGGGACAGTGTTTTCCCTCAGCTGCACAGAGTATGTTGCTACTCAGCACAGGGGAATAATTTGGATTTTCAGAGGTTTGGTTCATCATTTCTAGCACAGGTGAGGCAGAGGGTTTGCGTGTTTGTGGATTGTAAGTGTGTTTCTTGTACATGATCTGTAACACCTTATCCACTGCAGATATTTCGCAACAGGATGCGCAAGAAATAGTCAGGGCTGCGAAGGGAAATGTGAAAGTTCCCGTGCGTATTCAGAAGGCTTGATAGGCAGTCTGTGCGTCCCTTTGGAAAACTGCTGGTATGGTATATTGTGTATAGGCCTGTTGTGGCTGCTGCTTGTGTCTCAGTAATGACATTCACAGAATAGGAAGCAGATTTTTTTTCTATTTTTTGTTGTATTGGATGATTCATTTGAAGTAGATTAATATTGAAACTAAAATCTTCTAAGGCCCTGAAAGTGAATTAGCTATCTCTGTTTAAAAAGGAATTATTTAATTTTACACTTTAAAATACTTGATCATGTGACTTACACTAGGTAACAGCTGGCTTATCTGCTTGGTAGTGATGACACAGAGTTTCTAAGTATTACAGGCAGGACTGACTATTTTTAATTTGTTGGAATTTGATTATATTCCGCACAGCCACTGAAAACAGGAGGACTTGGGACACATCGTAATCATTACCAAGCATCAATACAGTGGGATCTGCTGGCATATTTTTTTTTTTTTTTTCAAAGATCAGGGGCCCTGTAAATCAGGGCTATCCATAGGCGGTTTGTTAGGAGGATTGCATTAACAAGGTGACTGCCACATGCAACATTTATGAGCTTTGTACCTCTGGCTGCCGATGTACAGCAGTCATTTCCTCTAGGCTGTGTGCTTTGGGAGTGTATTGGAGTTTGTGGCACCTTAAATATTCACACCTTGGTGACTTGATGCTGCACACTCCAAAGCACACGCTTTGTTTTAGGTACACGTAGAAATCTTGTGCTCTTGAGTCCCATAATGCATATTTTGAAGGGCAATCAGCATGCTCCTTAATGATGAGGTGCTTGAAAAACAAGATATGTGGAGCTTCCCTTGGAGGCAGCGTCTCAGCTGGAGAGCAGCGTTTCTTGGAGCTCTCACCCGTTAAAGTTGACTGCGTTGTAGCACAGTGCTGCAGTGTCTTTCTGTCTGAGCATACATTTACATGTTAAATAGTATATGATGACTGGTACCTGCACCATCCTTTCTTCATCGAGCAGGATCCTATTAACTATCCCACTTAATCAGGCATTCACACGCCTCTGCGGAGCGAGCTGCACGGTCTGGTGTTGGCTGGCCTGCTGGGAGAACACAGCTTTCTCAGACTTTAAAACACTTAGCTTTGGACTTCGAAGAATCTGTAAAAATGTAGGTGGGGGACATGACCCAAGCTTATTTTTAGCACCTCCTTTCAGCTGCTGAACATCTCCCTATGCTATCAGCCCGGTCATGGCAGCACTGGCTTAGTGGGGTCAGAGCCCTGGTACAAACCCTGTTAGTTGTAAGGAAGGGAGAGAGTGGGGCTGACCAAACTCTTTGTGTTTTGCAAGCAGAGAGTTTAGGTGGTGAAGGCTAAATGTGTTTGGGGTTTAACCCGACAGTGCATCTTTTTAAAGAACCTGATTTAAATTTGCAGAGGCATAAATAATAAAATATAACCTATTTGCTCATTTGGGGAATGGAAATGCATTTTTGTATTGCAGTTAATCTGAGGTGTGTTTGTAAAGAACATGCATTTTTAATCGCAGGACAAGGTTCAGTATGCAGGCCAATGTTGCTATCCCAGGGCAATCCAAATTTTCCTGCATCTCCCTGCCGTAGATGCTTTTCTTCCTGTGTCTGGGTATCCATCCCCTCCTCTTGAATACAGTGGATATTTGAAGTCTTTAGGTACTCTTTTCTTTCCCTCCGACTATAATACTTATGTAAGTATCCTTATATGTCCTTTTTGCAGTAGTGCAGTCTGGCTTCTTACAGCTCTTTTCCTTCCCACACCCCCTTCACTAGTACATGGCTTATGCTGGCACACGAGCAGTACATCTTCTGCAGTCTGATCATGTTGTTAAGTGCAGGTTTAGAGAAGATGATTTAGAAAGGCCAAGTAGCAAGGCTAGAGCAGCTAGCAACAGCCATGATAAGAACTGGGAACCTAGAAGATTCTGAATTTCTCCTTAAGTATCAGAGGTGTGTCGTTGTGATGGATCTTTACTGGAAATACCCCATCCTTCTAGCACTACCTAAACTTGTATCCCGAAGGACTGGTTTGAAGAACACTGGCATTGCCCTTGTCTAACAGCGACAGCTCACTTAAGTGATGTTCAAACATGCGTTGTCCTTGGGCAATTGTTCTGCTTTTGCACATGTACATTTTATTTAGGGTTGAGTGTGACAAGCTTTCAGGAAAAGGGGCTTCAATAACCAGTTTGCTTTGTTTACTCCCCCGCAGGGCACGCCACTTTTGAACTGGGAGCTACGTGGATTCATGGTTCACATGGAAACCCAGTCTATCATCTAGCAGAAGACAATGGCTTACTCGAAGAAACTACTGATAGCGAGAGAAGTGTTGGACGGATCAGTCTTTACTCCAAGAATGGGGTGGCTTATCATCTTACCAACAACGGGCAAAGGATCCCGAAAGATGTGGTTGAAGAATTCAGTGATTTATATAACGAGGTTGGTATTCAGCTTGCTATATTAGGTTGCAGATTTGCCTGAAACAGTGAGACCCCTTAACAGTTACAGCGTTCCGGGTACTGGACAAAGGTAGAAAACCAGTAATGTCTTTAATTTCTTTGCAAAAACTCAACACTTAGTTTGCTCTCGTCGGCTTAACTATACCCCGTTTGTCCCTGACGCGGGATTAACTCACTGTTGTTAGGACGAACAATCTTTCCACATTTGTCATCAGTTTAATCACTTCCAGCAACTATTGCTGGGGAGATCCAGTCATTTGCTCTACAAAGTTGCTACTTAATTAAAAGAGTAGGGGAGGGATCAGATTACTAAACAAAGTAGAACGCAAAACCTTAGCAACAACCAGCTAAATATTGTAGCCCTGTGACATTTTATTGACGTTATAAATACCGTAGTGTGCTGTGCAGTATGCCAAAGTCAGTGCAGTATCGTAGGAATTGCAAGTTTTCTTGCATCAGAAAGAAAGGAACATCTTTTCTGGTAGATTCAGACCAGTGCGGACTTCAGTTTAAGGTTACTTTAACTGCTTTTGATCAGTGTTCGGTGATGTCCAAGCTGATTCAATTCAGATGAGGGCCTCAGTATGTGACAGAAGAGCCAAATAGAAAAAACCCAAACAAACAACTGCAGACGCAGAACCTAAAAATACTAAATAGAAGCCTGCAAGATGGAAATGAAAATGTACATTTAGTGGAAAGAGTAACCTGTGCTAAAAAAAGCAATGGGCCAGTGCTGGCCTCAGACAAAAAAGGGCAAATTTACTTTCATGTAACTCGGCACTCCTGTTGTCATGTTAGTATTGCTTTCAGAGGGGAAATGGGGTTACTTACTGATTTGTCTGTTGAACACGTAGGAGAGATTGGTATTAGTTCTGTCTGCTTTCAGTAGGAAGGTTTGGCCTTCGGTAGAGTGAAATGAAAGAAGGTGACTTGCCAGAGTTAATTATACTTATTCTCCACATTTTTTTCATGTCACTTATGAAGTACATTTTGGGGGGGGGGAGTGCAGAATGTCTAGTCCTCTGGGTAATGTGATCTCTCAGTGGGTTACATAAAATGGAGCAAAACCATTATTATTTTCATCGGGCTGTAGCCATGCCTAAAACTTTCAGATTTTCATCTGACAGTGAACTTCACCGGTATTTGACGCTTGGCTAAACACAGACTGGATTCAGGTTACTCTTGCATACTTTATGTTTAAAAATATGTCCCTGAGCATTTAGAAAGCCATCAAGAGAAAAGTCACTGTAGCCTGTAAAGAATTATGAAGGATTGAATGGGGAATAGAAATGGGAATTTTATTTTTTTTTTCCTTTGAAAGAACTTTTGGCAGTCCTGGGTCTCTGAGCTAGAATCTTGATGGGATGGCACAAAATCATTTCAGTTTTAGAGAGGAGTGGTAGGAATTTCAAAGAAACTTTATTACGTAAGGAATTTAGCAACCTGTAACAGGGAGGGAATTCTTCTCGATCAAATGCAGGTGGAGATAATTCATCTGAACAACTTTTTCATATTACTGGGTTGAAAACAGAATGAGGGCCAGCCAGGAAAAAAAGGCAGGTGAGATGTAGAGCAAGACTAACAGCAACTGAGACTAGAAAAGAGCGAGGGAGTAAGTGAAAATACCGCAGTGAGCGGCATTATTTATGTAAATGGAACACCGCCAAACTGCATGCAGCGCTTGGTGATCCTCCTGTCTCAAAGATGATAGGAAAATCTCCAGCAAAGGGAGGCTGTCAGAGGCAGGCAGACTCTGAAATGAGAATACAAAGATGAGAGCTACTTAGCTTTGAGATACAGCCGATAAGATAAAGGCTATAACAAGGTGCCAGTGCTTTAAAAATGCTTAATTCGGTAAATCTACCCTTTCCTTTACAGCAAGAGAAAGGGGGCAGCCAGTGACATGAGAGAACACCACATTAAAAGTTAATCTTCTTTACGCAACGCATTATTAGCTTATCGTTGCCACAGGATATCTTTATCGCTAGGAGACGGAAAAGGCTTTCACATTTATGGCTTGTAAAAATGTCTACAGCTACTCTCTGCAATGTAAAAATATGTAGGGGACGGCTTAAGCCAAGCAGAAGACATCAGCCAACCTCTTAATTGCTGTTGCTGGGGACGTGCTTCCTCTGTCTTCCTTTAAAACGCGCTGGAATTTCTGCAGGCACAGCTCATGGTTTTGTTGAGCTTCTTGTCCCGGCCTCTTTGGGGTGTCAGACTGGACGGTCTTTAGTGATTTAAGGCAGCTGACTCTGGTTTCTTCCCTGCGCTTCATAGGAAAAGCAGGAATTAAGGCGACCTACCTGATCTCCTGAAAATCTCCAGTTAAAAAAGGCTGTATGAACTACAAGTGCCCCGGTGGGTGGGCAGTCAGGAGCACGTGCCGCAGGCATGTGGCTTTGGGAACCTTTTCCTCTGGCATAAAGTGCAGAGAATTGTTTCTGTTTACACATGCTGAGTCTGCCTGGTGCATTTCTCTTCTGTGTTTTGTCGAGTCCCCCACACCCCCGGTGGTTTGGGTTTTTTTGCATTTTCACTAGAGTCCATTCCATATTATTTTTTTTTTCATCCTGGCTGGCCAATACTCTCTTACTTTAACTGATGATGAAATGGGTGCTGGGGTGGAACAGTAGGAATTTGGTCTTCAGTTCTGAATTTCTGGTTTTTGAGGAGGCAGGGGTTTTGAGAGGGTTTGTTAGCTGTCTGGGATAAGAAGCCATCGTACGGATCACCAGATCCTGAGGTCCGGCTCCGACCTTGCCTCGCAGGGGCACCCAGACCCTTCTCAGAGCCTGGGGCAGCCTGCTGTTAGCAATCCTGCCATCATGTCGTCTCATCTCTCAGGCTGCATCTCACCCTTTGGAAGAGGCAGAGATAGCAAAGCCTGTGACACACCACGCTGTCCTGACTTGAAAAGAAAAAAAAAACAAACAAACCAGCAACCAAAACAACCAGCAACCACGTGATGGATGCAAAGGCTAATCAGGGATGGAGCACTGGCATTAACAGTGGAAAATGTAGTCTTGAATGAATGGGGCTAAATTTGTCACAGTTTCACATGCTGGCCCTCCCCAGCACAGCCGGCTCACTTCCCATGCACTTGCACGCTGCCCTTCTTTCGCTGCAGCTGCTGCCACGTGCTTGGGCTCGAGCATATGCCTCCAGCTCTGCTTCTCCATCTGCATCTCTCTAGCCCCAGTTATCTTGTCAGCTGGATGCCAAATTCTAGGGAATGCAAAGCGCAGAGGGTCTGCCTCGAGTGTTTCGCTTGGGTATGCGGAGCTGCTGAAGCTGGAGCCTAGCAAGGCGAGGTCTGTGTGCTGAATTTTCCTGGTGTGAAAGGCAAGGTAGCTTCAGAGCTTTGCCTCGCTAGTTCATTTGGAAAGTCCTTACGCTTTTTCCAGGCATTTGTCCAATCTTTTTTTGGCTGGCTTCTTCTACTTCAGTACAAGTTTTGCTTCTTTTGTTTGCAGTAGCCTGAATATTTAATAGCGGTAGGGATGCCTCACAGAAGCCTTTATTTGGTTACGGGGAAGCCAAGCAGTGAGATTGCTCAGCTCTTCATTTCTGTAGCAGAAAGTTCCCTATAAGAGGCTGGCTTAACTGCGAGGCCGTTGCACTGCATTGAAGTCAGTCAAGACCCAGCACGTGCCTCTGACTGAGGTGACCCAAATCCTCCTCCGTGAGAACGCTAGCGACCCGAGCAATGCCTGTAAGGAAGGTCTCCAGCCCTGCGGAGCGGCTACCGGGATTTCCAACCACGCGTTGCCAAGCGATGCACCATCAGAAAGGGCTGTTGGCAGGACAGCTCTCCAGCGGTGGTCCCAAGTAGGGTTCGTTTACCCGGCATGCAATGAGCCGATCTTCACACACTGAGACGAGATAACTTCATTCGCAAAGTTACGCAAAATGTGGGTGCTAGGTGGTCTTCCACAAAGCTAGCACGCCTAGCAAGACTTTCTCTTAACTTTTATATGTTACGATTAACATATCGCACCTATCTACTTCATGATCATTACATTAGCTAATCATAGTTATTTCTCACTGGTTCATTACTTCTTTGCTTCGATTTAAAGATACAATCATAGAATGAGTCACAGAATACCAGGTTGGAAGGGACCTCAAGGTCCAGACTTTCTAGGCAAGAGCACAGCCTAGACAAGATGGCCCAGCACCCTGATTTTAGTTTGATTTTAACTTACTACGCATGCTCAAAGAGGGGGGGAAGAAAGTTGCTTCTGGTTTCTATTTGAGTCGGTGGTCGCGCTTCCCCCTGCCAGAATTACCTTTCCCCTAATTTCTTTCTTGTTAAGTAACTCTTCACATTTTACTAATCAAGACGATAAGACATCACCTTGTTTCCTGTTCCTCAACAATAACCACATCGATTACTTTAACAGTCTACCAACTAAACAGAAGCATAGACAGGGTAGGGCTTTATCATGAACGTTCTACGGCAGCATTAGTTTCTAATAACACAGCCCCTGTTGGTTTAAGACTATCCTTAGACTGTGTACCATGCAGGGCTGGCACTGCTCAGGGTCATCACCAGTCCATTTGGTTGGTCTCTCCAAGGAAGGGGGGCCTGCCACCGTTGGAAGGTTCCCCAGGGTGTGATGTCCCTGCCACGTATTCATAGTCTTCCCACCTTCCTCTCCACTCCTACTAGGATAATTGGGGGAATCCTGGGGCTGGGGGAGGATTTCGGCCTCTGCTTATGACCCTCAAAGAATCAGATCATCTGCATCACCCTCAAAGAAAAGTGGCAGGAGCGTGACCTTTGAGGGTAATGTCTGCAGCTTCACTGTCTGTGTGTGTGTAACAGCTGGGAAGATGTGGACAGGGACAACCCATCTCAGAGTTGCTCTTCTGTCCCTGCTAGATCTTTGTTTCCCTCCCCAAAGCGGCATTCAAGGCCAACTCCCAGGTATTTGTGAAGGGTGGGAGGGAGGTGGTGAGCTTGACAAGTTAAATGCA